TGGGATAACGAGCAGAATGCATTAGTTCTGCATGACGGTTTTTCATGGTCGCACTTGCGCTACAGCTCTCATGACAGGGCTTCATAAACCACACAGGAGAGCCACAGATCGTAAAACTGCTTGACGGAGGAGGAGGAGGAGGAGGTGTTCGGAGCCTCAGTGTGAGCGGCGGTTCGAAGCACTCGGGTGAGTCACGCGTTTCGACAAGTGCTTCATAAGCTGTGATTTGGTTTATTGCCGTTTTGTCACGAGACCTTGACACGGAAGGAGTCGCGTGTGGAGACGAAGGAAGATTGTGAATTATGAATATATAAAGTTTCTAGAATAATGGTTGACGGCTGCGAAGACAAGCAAGTGATATCACGTGTGGGCTGGTCGGATTTCGGTATGAATTACGAATCCACTTTTTACATAGTTGTGTTGATGTCCCATAGGTTGCATTTTAAATGTTTCAGCTGACTACGTACATCCATTTGATTTAATGAGATTGTGTGTGTATGTATGTATATTATATATTATATATATATATATATATATATATTATAATATATATATATATATATATACATATAATATACATATATTTATACATATTTACATACATACATAGCCATATATAAACAATATACGAAAATACATTAGCTTTAATCATGTCAGTTTACAACTTTATATTGTTACAATAAGGTGCTCTCTACTGCTTCATCGTGATGCAAAAGATGCTATTACCAAAGATACCATAGTACCACTGGCTGCTGTTTGAAAAGTGACTTTATTCAATTGTATACTTTGTATAGTGTGTCAGCTGCTCTTAGGAATTTCGGTGTAAAATGCCTGTAGCGAGATACAACAGCTGATGTGTTATTATTAAGATATTGATAACATGCGCGATAAAAAGTATTTTCCTTATAAGATATAAATAAAGAAGTGAAGACTAAAATCAGCTTTTAAGGCCATAGTACCCTGAACAGCTCCTATCCCCTGGGCCGTGGCGCAGCAGAGGCCGACAAACACGGAGAGAGACAGATCGACGCATCTGAGGACAGATCGAGAGACCTGCACCTTGAGGATCAGATTCGATCGAGGAGAGAGAGACATGAGACGACGTGCAGAGAGACACAACGCCGTGAACGACCTAGCGGGAGAGAGAAAGAGAGAGATAGAAGAGAGAGAGAGAGAGAACAAGAGACTGGAGACTGAGACTGGGACTGCATTATCTGCATTTTCTAACACGTTATTTATTATGTACGGTAAGTCCACTTACATTCAGTCAACTTAGGCGGTATGGATGCGCCTCGTCTCGTTGGAAACACCACCCACAAAAACTCCGAGCGTATGGACGCTGTGATCACATGTCCCCTTCGCGTGTATTGTTACCCGGTGCCTTTTATGAGTATGTGTTCGCGCACGCCGTTATGTAATGTCGTGTTAAAGCCTTGTAACCCCTCGCATGCGTTGACTGGGTCTGCTGCTAACAAACTGTATCGGCAATGTATATCGTATTTCGTTGATTGTGTGTACCTTTCCTGTATCGAGACCTCAACCGTTGAATATTATAATAATCTCTCCATTCACGTGCGCGTTTGGCTTTCAATACTGTTTATATGTTTTCTGGGCATGCATCGCTGCATTTATCAGTTGTGTAGTATTGTGATGGTGCCTTAGAGTGATTGGCTGCTTATGTTATATGTGGGTGATAGCGATGTATGTGCCACTATGTGCGTGGATAGCTACGGTCCTTCGGGTATATGTTCATATACGTGACACGGATGTATTGCTGTCTTGTATGTTTGTGTCTATGTGCATAGTTGCGTCGGAGTATGTCATCGTTATATGTCTGGGCGCATTGAGCCTTGTCGACTTCCATGCACATGTACGATGGATACTCAGTGACGCTTTGGCGAGGGGCCTCTATATTGTCGATCAAATCCGTCCCTATTAAAAGACGCTTTGTGGTACCGTCTGATAATGCTGACTGCCAATATGACGTAGTTTGCTGTTTTGCGGCCGGTAATGTGGATATTTAACGCCTTATTGTAAAGTATTGTGCTGCACATGACAATAGCGCTGTGTTTTAGTACCCAGAGACCCGCGGAGCTCCCGCCGAAATTAAATGAATGTAGCACAATCTCTACCAACTCCGTTCTTCATAATAGGAGCTCGACGAAAAGAAAGCCGGAGGTCGCTGTGGTAACTTTAGAGTAAAGCATGCAGTGTCGCGTTCGGCTGTAGAAGGGTATGCAAGCATTTATGGTCCTCGCGCCCAAACTCTCCACGATGTGCCCCCGTTCTGGGAGTAATCTGGCAGCCAGCGGAGCGGGGCAGGGTATCGGGGGGGGAGCGGCTGGGGAAGTGGAGACCGCAGTTGCTCTCGGGCGTGTTGACCAGACCCACTCAAGTAGCGTCGGGTTCCTTTGCTCTGTGGCCACCAGGGGGCAGTAGTATGAGTAGCAGGAACAGCCATGTTGACAATATTTTCATTTACTTATTATGATTGTGATTAATATCTATTATTATCATCATCTATTTCATATCTCCATTACCCATTATCATTATTATAACTATTACAATTTATTATTTTATTCATTACATTTTTTGTTAACTGTTACTTTCTGTTTTGAGGTGGAGGCAGACACAACAGGTAAATATGTGCCATAGATAAACTTCCTCATGATTCTCCAAGCAATTACAATAAACAACCTACATCCACCTGTTTAAAAAGCTGAACGACGAGCCAGGAAATCTTTTAATGAATGAATGAAAAAATAAACAAATATATAGATAGGAAAAAAGGAAAACTGACCAGATTCGAGGATCCACCAATTGGGAGGTAGGCCCGACTGCAGCTCTGTCCACGGCGACGTCCATGGCAGCCGGTGAGCCCAGCTCATCCATTTCAGTTCTTGGATGCTAACCAACGGTCCTGTTGCAGTCGTCCCTTGCGAGCGCCATGGCCTGGCTGGAGTACACCTACAGCATTGCCGGGTCCACCAAGGGGGGTTTCTCGCTCCCTGCCCTGACCCCCTGCTCCGCCCACCGCTGTCAGAGGGACGAGAGGGGTGTTTGGAGCTTGCTGTGTGTCGTTTGGGTTCGCAATCCGCGCTGGGTCGTCGTTGGTTGACGTTATCGCGCACTTCGTCTCTCTTCTCTCTCGATGGTACGAGTCGCTTCGATCTCGGTCTGCTCTCCTTGTCTCTAACGTCGATCTCGGTGCCTCTCTCTCGACCAGTACTCTCTCGTGAATTGCAGTGTCGTAATCGTACGAGGATCTCTGGTAGGCGAGATCCTGTCAATACATGCTTGGCGTGCCCTTTGGAGTCAGAGGTGCCTCGCTCTTTGACTCCCGGCGTCCGGGTGAGAGGTGTCCGCTTCAGAGCGTCTTTGCCGCGTCGGCTTACCTCTCGTTCGTCGCTCTCTTCTCCCGGACGGCTAACCGCGGAACTGCGGGAGAACTCTCGTCGATCCCGGTCACCGAGACAAACTTCCGCAAGCCTGGATTGCCTCGGCGCGATTCTAGACCTATCTGCATTCTTCACGTATCCTCCTCCGTAAGTAATCCCCGCACTTTCCCTCACGCTCACTGGACTCTCTCTCTCATCTCTCTCTCTCTCTCTCTCTACTCTCTCTCTCCTCTCATCTCTCTCTCTCTCTCTCTCTCTTCTCTCTCTTCTCTTCTCTTTCTCTTTCTCTTTCTTTTCTTCCTTTCCCTCGCTCTTTCTCTTCCTCTTCCTCTTCCTCTTCCTCTTCTCTTCTCTTCCTCTTCCTCTTCCTCTTCCTCTTCCTCTTCCTCTTCCTCTTCCCTCTTCCTCTCCTCCCCCTCCCTCTCCCTCTCCCTCTCCCTCTCTTTCTCATATACTTTCGAGAATCTAATACCATTATTACTGAAAATAATCTGAAAAAATTAGCTGTAACGATGAAAAGTTTCCTGAACCGGACTATGTATAAAAAAATAAAAAACATCACTATCTGTAAAGAAAAAGAAAGAAAAACTACAAACATCAATGAAAATAATTCAATCCCATAAAAAAAAACAAAAATCCTTACAAATCTACGTAAACTAGCCTACATTCTCCCAAAAAAACTTAAAAAAAAAACAAAGCATCAAGATCCGTGTTGTGTTGTTGTTCCCATCTCTCCCTCGCGAAGACCACGCCGGGAGGACCTGGTAAGGCTTCGCTCTGTTCGTCGCCAGCCAGGAAGTCCGAATTCTGTCGCGCAGGAAATATGACGCTGCACATGTCCTTCCTCTCTTCCTCTGGCGTGGAGGAATCTATGTTTTTCGTCTGCGTATGTTTGTGTTTATATATATATATATATATATTATTATATATATATATATATATATATATATATATATATATATATAGTGTGTGTGTGTGTGTGTGTGTGTGTGTGTGTGTGTGTGTGTGTGTGTGTGTGTGTGTGTGTGTGTGTGTATGTGTGTATGTGTATGTGTATGTGTATGTGTATGTGTCTGTGTCTGTGTCTGTGTGTCTGTGTCTGTGTGTCTGTGTCTGTGTCTGTGTGTAGTGTGTACACAGTGGGCATACACACATACATGCACACACACACACACACATATGTGTATGTGTGTGTGTGTTATATTTGTATGTATTTATGTATGTACGTATTAATTTATATATTACATGTACTCATTCTCCCAAAATCTCTCTCCCTCATTCCTTCACGTTCCACAGTCAGTGTTGACCCACTCGTGTACCCTGTACTGAATGAGCGACAAAAACTACAGGGCCCCACTACCTGCTTTGTCACTCTTCCGCCCACGTCAGAGAGAGAGAGAGAGAGACAGAGAGAGAGAGAGAGAGAGAGAGGAGAGAAGAGAGACAAGAGAGAGAGAAGAGAGAGAGAGAGAGAGAGAGAGAGAGAGAGAGAGAGAGAGAGAGAGAGAGAGAGAGAGAGAAGAGAGAGAGAGAAGAGAGAGAGAGACAGAGAAAGAAAAAAAGACATAAACAGACAACAAATATGAAACTCGACAGAAGACAAGCGCACCGCACCGACCAGCGCCTCACCTGAACAAAGAGGTTGTGGTACTTGATAGCATTGGGGTCTTTAAGGGACGCCGCCCGACCCACGAAGTCCATCAGCACCTGCACGTATTCTTGGGACTTCAGGGGGAAGATGCTCTTGATGATTGTCTTCACGACGTCACGGGAGACAAGACCCTTGAAGAAAAAGATTTTGATGATTTTTTTTTCTTTTTTGCGTCTGTTTTGTGGATAAGCTGTTTGTTTAGGATGTGTATAATATCGGTATCTTTATGTGTTGTAATAATGCCTAGAATTTGGTATCTTTATGTTATAATATTGCCGGTTACTAGAATTTAGAGCGTGGCTTAACTACATGAAAATGAGCACACACCTAAACACGTTCACATACCCTCAAACCCACACGCAGACACCCACTCGCGCGCGAAAAAAAATGTGCAAGATAAAGTAACAACAAAGAAACTGAAGCACAGAAATGG